GTGTCGTGTACACAGACTACCGATCACTCGCCTGCCGGATACACACAATGACGGAAGAGAGCAGCGTAGCAGCAGTCGACGGCGGCGTCGGCGGCGGCGGCGCTCTGCAGTGCGTCGGCCCGCTGACCTTGACACTGACATTGACTGAGCGAGCGAGCGAGACAAAGAGGGACAAACAGAGACGGAAGGATGAGGAGACGGTGAGGAAGAGAGCGAGAGAGAACGAAAGAGAGAGGGATATATTGTTGGACGATACGCGCGATTAGGCGAAACTAAACGCGAGACGAAACTCGACGCGTCTCACCGACCGACCGACCAGTCGCCAGCCAAGCAGTACAAGTATATACCGCTTTTGCTTCCTCTGTGTTCTCTTTGCTCCCTAGCTCTCCTCGGTTGACCGCATCAACGATCAACCGGGTAACGAGACTTCGTCGACCGTTTACGACGGGGTATTCCAGACCTCGAAACAGGTTTTCAGAGGTGCAGGCCTGGCTCCTCGTTGCACCTGTGCCCGGGGACAAGGAGATCCAACGGGCCAACGGGCAAAGGGGAGGGGATCGAACGATCTTGGATTGGGGAGCGACGAGACGTGTAGAAGGAAAAAGACAGAGGCAGGATGCGGAGGGAGAGAGGAGGCAGGTGAAAGAAGGACGGAACAGGGTAGAAAAGACGAGAGGATGGTGTAGGCGAGAAGAGAACGGAGATGTCGAACCCGCGAAACGAAAGGGAGAGAAAGAGGGGCGGAGGGGAGTGGGCGAGACGTCGAAGAAAAGGAGAACTGACTTTCGCTTTCTGTGCGCGACGCAGCCTAGCCGCGGAGCGTCGATCAATAGCGCCGCGACGGTTGCACACATACATATGCGTGGCCCCCGCGTGTACAAACCCTCTGCCGTCCTCCCTGCTCCACGTAATCTGTCTCTCTTTTGCCCTATCTGTTCATCCACGTCTGCTTATCTGTATATTATCCCCTCCGACGAGCTTTACCGCTCAAGGAGTCACGTGTGTGTGAGGGTGGAATTATTAGGATCATGGCTCGCTTAGGCCAAACAAGGGGTGGCAGAAAGATCGACAGAGAGAGAATCCAAAGACCTCGAGCTACCGATCAGCGACGCCCCTCGTTTCCTCTCCTTCCATCGCTCGGTTTCACTCTGCTCGGTTTCGCGCTCGACCTTCTCGCCCTCTTTCTCTCTTGTCAGCTCGCTCGCTCGCTACGCTTATCGAGTAGTACGAGCGAGATCGGCGCGAAAGAAGGTGGAACCGACAAGAGACAGACGCACAGAGGTGGTAGAACGCGAGCGCGTGTCGCGTAAAGGGCTTTTTACGCCGCTCGAAATGTGGAACTCGTGTCGGCCACCCATTCGACGCATAAAGTTACTTTAACGCGTCATGTCGGAAATTGCCGCGCGAGTTTACGAGCTTGTAAAGAGTCCTCCTCCTCTTGGTACTTCCTAGAATACGTACGACCACGACGACCACTGAAGGAGGGAGAGAGAGAGAGAGAGCCTGGTTCCTCTTCTGGGCTATTCGTGTCCGGCTTGCACCGACGATAAATTTTCCAACGCAGGTTGCCGGTGCCGGAGAAAAATGCGCTCACTCCGTTCCTTTCTTTCGCGTAGAGCGAGGCACACCGCGCCCCGACCGCCGCCAGTCTTTATGCCCAGACCTTTAATCTACCTTTATTAAGCGTGCTGTCTCCTCCATTTGTAAAGCACTTGCTTCCAGTCGTAAACCACGTGCTCGCGAGAACCTTAAACGCGGCTCTGATGTCTCGTGAAATCAATTAAGAGCAAATAAACCAGTGCCCCATAAACAAGTATTCCTACGAGTCCCTCGTTTGTTGCTATATTTAGGCGGTAATGTTATAAATATACGTTTAGTCGGGCTTCTTCTTTTTCAAACTGCGCAGACACGTTTCATTCATTCCGTTCGGGATGGATATGCGTGTTATGTACTTGAAAAGAGAGACGCTATTGGCATTGAAGAATTGTATGTTAAAAGAATGACAATTGTGTATTGGCCAATTGTGACGGTAAATTGTTTTAATAGCAAGAAACAGTAACATTTGATCAATATTAAAGCAACTTAGTTGATAACATTTGTAATGATAACGTTTAACGTCGCAGTGGGCATTGATCAACAGATATGTCCAGTGCATAGAATAAATAATAAATATTTGACAATTACCGAGTATGTTAAGAAGAAATGATTATATAAATAATTGTATTTTTATCTTATTATGGCACAAGATTGTTAGATAGAGTGTATCATTTTTATTCTTAACATATTGTTTATTTTTTTATATAGGAACATGGCAATCTAATTCTTTTTACCAATAAATAATTTAATTACATATGAAGTAAAGAAAAATGGGTTTGGTTAAAATTTCACGACGGTTGCTAACCGATTTATAGACAGTGACGAATTTTTGTCTTCGTCCATTTTGAATAATTTTTAAATCGTATAAGAGGTTAATTTAATCCGTTTATAAATTAAAGTAACAGACGTTGTCGTGTGTACAAAATTACAGGTATGTTGAAAAAAAGGATTTCAAACTTTTTCTCCGCGAATTACACAATAGAGAGATTAAACGAAAGAACATTTGGACTTACATGATTCACAGACGCAGCGAGATGTTTCAAACTGTCCGCGTAATTTTTTAACACCGTGTCCGTCGTCATACAGCTCACCCGAAACTCGTAAAACATATCCAATTTGTATACGCATCTCTGGCAAATATTTTTCGGCAACGCATCCTCTTTCGTTATCTGCAATAAATTTCACGTTTCAACGTACCGTTCTTGGGAAACAAAAGTGCAAAGTAAAAATTATTGCAAAAACTGTTAGTTAAGAAAATAGCGTTAAAACTGCGTATTTAGTTTTCTCTGTCGAGTAATCGTACGTATATGTTTCGTCGAAGCGTAATTTAACAGGTTTAATTCTTCATAATAAAAAGTTTAAGTCATATTTCGATTAATTTCTCCATTTTGTAATAAATTGCTCGTTGTCTTTGTCATTACAAAATCATCACAACGAATAAAGGAATAATAAATTAACAAATTGTGATATACGAAAAATAGTATATAATCGTAAACGTAAAGTTTCTTTTTATTAATACGAGATAGATACATTTGTTTAAAATTCGTGTATTTGTAAATTCGAGAACAACATTATTATGATAGATGAGATATTCAAATGTAGTTTCATTGCTATTTTCAAAATGGTCAATGAAAGTCCACCTCATTTTATAATGTTCTTTTACTTTGCACCTTAATTAACATTTTAGTACAGCGGAATATTCAATTTCTAATTAATTATTCGACTAACATTGTACTAATAGCAATACAAAACACATTTGGACTAGCATTTCCTAACTATTTATTTTCAACATTTCTGACGTACATATTTCCAAAGAAACTTACAATTGATCGAAGAAACGTAAGACAGCCAAGTTAAATAAGAGAAAAGTGTGAAATACTACGAGGTTTTCGAAATATGTCGAGGAAAATC